AAAAGCGCCGTCCTTAACGTGTTAATTTATATAATTATCAAATTAGTTTTCATATTTACCCATGACCGTGCAGATCTTCGGTGCATCATCGGTTGCGATTATTACATCGGTCGTTCCGTCCATCGGGTTCGGCGTGTTTCCATTCATCATTGTCGTCTTCGCTGTCGGCTCTTGGCTGGAAGCCCTCTCGTCCGTTTGGGCCATCTCCGTGCTCGATACTGCTGGTACAACAGCTTCTAGTCTCTTGGAAGATTGAGTGGATAGCAGTAAAGTGCTAGCAATGGATTCCGATGATTTCGTTGTCGGCTTCGCAGTTTCCACTTTAGGCGGCATCGGTTTAGACACGGCACTTTTGATCTCTGAAAAAATATATATATATATATATATCACTGAATATAGTGACGCAAATTGGCAGCAGATGGAGCAGAGCAATTGGTTTTGAAAATCGAATGGAAGCAGCAAAATTGATTTGTACGGGTGTACATTTGAGACATGCAACATCTTGAATTCAATTGAGAGTTTATTTAATAAAAAGAGACTTACGGCAGGGCGTGAATGGGCCGCGATCCTTGCACGGTCCTTCCGCAGCTGGAGGACAGTCCTGCCACCAGCAGAACATCTCTCCGTCCAAGCACAGGCAGAATTCGCACGGATCCTTCCGATAAATCTGCAATCATCGGTACACAATTTAATAAAAAAAACAAAGTTTATACGTAAATACTATTAAATTGTGTAGTATTTAGGTGGAATGAGACGAATGAGCGAAATGAAATGTAATTGAAATAAGCGCGCACGGATTCGGAGCTCTCCCGGCGGTCGTTGCCGGGACGGCATTAGCATTCGAAATTTGTTTGCTCCGGTTTTGTTGTTTTCCTTCCGCGCAACGGAATTAAACGGCGGAAATATGATGGTGATTATATGGGGAGAAAACAGGACAAATTCAAACGCATCCCGAAAAACACGCCCATCCAATTCAACCGAAAACGCGATTTATGGGCGCTCTTTAAACTTTTCGCAGTGCCGAAATTCCCCAATTGCCCGATCCTCCATACATTATTTTATTAATTGCTCGCGAGGGGATGAAACAATGTCGTTTTTTGTTTTATTAATATACACACACACACACGTAAATGATAAATTTAACGCATAAAAATGGTTCGTTTTGAATGGAGAAATTAATCGATAAAATTTCTGAGTGGAAGAAGGGAACGGGGACGATGTTTTTATTTAACTTTCCGGTCGGGCAAAAGGTAGTAAATTACATCGAAGAGGGCGACGCTTGATTGTTTCAGAGGACGAAAGGGATGGAAGAAAAAGAAGTGCAAAAGTTTTGAATATTCATGCGATATGAATCATCCCGTATTGTTACGCCCTTTTCACGTTTCCCTCTTTCTCTCTATATTTCCACCCCCCAATTCATCAGAAAGCGCGCTTTTATACAATTCTTACGCCCATTCGCGAATTGCGAAGATAAAACAATCAACAACACCAATAAAAAAACAAGAAGTGTAATTCATTCATTGAACATTTTTAATCGTTCATTAATATATTTTCGTATTTGTATTATTCATATGCACTAATCTTTATTTCTCCGTTTCCGCAATTAATTGCGAACAAACGCGCACAAAATAAACGCGGTCCGCTAATTAATCCGGATACTTTCTATATTTCAATTGCAAATTTAATTGAATTCAATTTAATCCTTGTATAAATATGCACACAGGCAACATGCAAACATGAAAAACGAATTATTTGCTGCATTTTAATTGAGAAATTGAGTTAGAATAATTTGTAATTTCTAATTGACTTTTCTTGGCTTTTGTGTTCTTTTCATCAAATGATTCCTTGTATAATTTACATTATTTTAATCAGACAGTCGAACCGAAATTAATTTGGTTCCGGTTTACGGTTACGTTCAAAGTAAATGTTTATCGTTCCAGATTCGGTTTCGGTTCAGTTCAATACAATATCAAAATATTATTTTTTTTTCGAATGTCTTTATAAATAAATCAAAACACTAGCACTGGCTCACTACCATCAACGAGCAAACATGATAGAAAGCGAGTATGAATTAATTTAATGAAAAAGAAAAATTGAACCGAAATTAACTGTATGTTAAAAATTCCGGTTAATTTCGGTTTTCTGTTCGGTTCCGGTTCGACTCTCTGATTTTAATAGATATACATAATTATCATAATTGAAAAATAAATATATGACAGTGAAAATGGAACAAAAATTGTTCCAGATTCGGTTTCGGTTCGTCTAAAAAGTTCGGTTCACTTCAACACAATGTCACAATTTTTTTTTTTTCGAATGTCTATATAAAGAAACAAAAACACTAGACACTGGCTCACTACCATCAAAGAGCATACATGATAGAAAGTGAGTATGAATTAATTTAATTGAACCGAAATTAACTGTATGTTAAAAATTCCGGTTAATTTCGGTTTTCTGTTCGGTTCCGGTTCGACTCTCTGATTTTAATAGATAAACGTAATTATCATAATTGAAAAATAAATTAATAATGTCACTATATATGACAGTGAAACCAGATTCGGTTTCGGTTCGTCTAAAAAGTTCGATTCAGTTCAACACAATGTCACAATTTTTTTTTTTTCGAATGTCTATATAAAGAAACTAAAACACTAGACACTGGCTCATTACCATCAAAGAGCATACATGATAGAAAGCGAGTATGAATTAATTTAATGAAAAAGAAAAATTGAACCGAAATTAACTGTATGTTAAAAATTCCGGTTAATTTCGGTTTTACGGTTTTCTATTCGGTTCCGGTTCGACTCTCTGATTTTAATAGATAAACGTAATTATCATAATTGAAAAATAAATTCATAATGTCACTATATATGACAGTGAAAATGGAACAAAAATTGTTCTTTTTTTTTTTGGTGACAGTTCGATGCAGCGTCGTTATTTGAATTGCTGCACACGTTTCGTAATAAAATATGGAGCATTATTATTGTTTAATCAATTTCGTGTTTGCGCGGCGCGTAAAGCACGGAACGAAATCGCAGACAATAAATAAATACGAAAAACGCGTTCGCGTGATTAACTTTCGGTTGCTGAATAATGAATGCGCTCAAATATTGTTGTCGAAGAAAACCGTGTAAAGTATACACACACACACAGATACAAATGCGTATTCTTTTGTTTTTGTTTCAGTTTCGATTGACGTTTCGGTTGGTCGGTCAACAGATGACGGCACCGGACGGGTCGAACCGAAACGCAATTAGCGTCCAGTCAATATTGAATGTCAGTCAGTCAGGGGGTGGAGGTGGTAGGTGAATTGAAAAATGGGTGACTTTATGAAATATTAATTAAACCGCAAATACGCACGTGGTTTTATTTAGTTTGTTGGAAAGAGAACGATGAAAGAACTGAAATTGAAATATGAGATTCGCGTGCAGCTGAAACAACTACGGATAAACGAATGTAAAGTGTAAATAAATGAGTGCAATTATGGAAGATGCGGATTTGCAGCGAATGGATTAATCAAGGAAGATGACGAAAAAAAAAAAAGAAAAGCTAAACAAAGAAGAAATAAGTAAGGCGGAAGACTTTGGTAAAGTTTTAATTATCCCGTTTGTCGCGGCATTTCTGTGTTGTTTGTTTTTTTTTTCTCTATTTTTTTTGTACCGCATTCAGCGCCTCCTCGCGGAAAATAATTACCATTATCCTTCTTTCATTTTTTTTTGTCCCACGATAAAACTTTCCAGTTCCTTCAATTCGAACCCGTCTATGGGGTTTCTCTTTCTCGAAGCGAGGCGGAGCGGCAGCACTTAATTAATTAGTCCGCTGTGCGGCGAAAGCGAAAGCTTTTGATGGTGTCAACAAAGCTCACAAATAAATCGGACGGGCGAATAGAAGTGGGAAAAAGGAAAGGAAAAGAAAGAAGTGAAGCGTGTGTAATTTGCGGTACGGATGAAAAGTTTAAAAAAATATATATATATATTAGCGCGCACGGATCAAAGGGAATCAGCGAAAATGAATGACGCCCATTTATTTATTTATTTATTGACTTTGAAAATTAACTCGAATCTTGTCACTTTGATATTCAAACTGTCAAATGAAAAAAAAAACAAATACTTGTCACTTTTTGTTACATGTCAAAGTCGATTGAGCTGTCATGTCACGATTTTTGCTTTGCAAATTTCCGGTTATAATTTAAGTCGCAAGTTTCCGGCGGATCGCATCCGTCTTTGAGCTGGTAAAGGATCAGTCCCATCCGGTGGACGAGAAGGCGGCTGTGGCGGCGACAACCGGTAAAATATTCAGGGAATCTTGGTTTTCGGACTGCGTGCGGCGGGGATGGGATGGATGGGTCCGACCCTTGCATATTCAAATACGTTCAACACGCGGAGCACGTTTCCGACGGAACCGCACACCGAGAGCACAAGATGCTCTAACACCCAAAAAACAAACGAAGAGATTACAAAAAAAAGACGGTTAGATAAATGTGAATTATGAGTTATAATTAAAGTCGTTTCTTTTTTGTTTGTTTGCATATTTTGTTTGAATAATCACAGCAAACTTGCAAATATTGTAGTTATTGACAAAAGTTTCCAGACAAAAGGACGTTGGCCTCGTAAACGTTAAAACAGATAAACGATGTACGAAACGTTTGTATCCGGCGACTTTGAAAACTTGCTATTATTAATATAATTGTATTTGAACATGAAGGTGCGAGCGAATGGAGGAAAGCGGACGGGCATATCGCGTGCAGCCTGTAAACTAATCATTAAGTATATTTATAAAACTTGTCGGGGAGGCAAATGCAACGTGGAAAAGTGAATTTCCACAGCACACGCGCTTCACAAATTGTTATTGAAGTAGGCAAATAGAATTGCCGATGTTGATTTGACATCATTCTCGATCATCAGCGTCTTCGACGTTTCTGTCCCCGGAGGGGGCTCTACGAAAAGCGTTATAAAACGATCGAGTTTATGGTGAAGTATACACACTCGATAAGATCGAGTGCGATTCCGCACAAATTGGATGCATTTCACGGTGAAACGTACATTCAGAAGTGATATTTATGAGGAGCGATGGAATTTATGAATAGAAGTAAATAGGCTATCGTAAAATACTCTCTCTCTCTCTCTTAGTCTATGTATTTGTACGTTATATAAAACTCTCACTGGAAAATCTTTTATGCAGAGAAACGAGATTTTTATGGGGCCTTAAAGTAATACCGCAACGGAAGTCAATATGCGCACAATGTACGGAAGACAGGCGTATTTTTCTTCGCTTTATGAGGAAGACGAAGCGCGGAAAGTTACGTAACTTGTTTTGCATTAAATAAGAATACGCGAGATTCGAAACGGTTTTCCAACATTTCCTTATTTCGTCCATGAAAAAGAATGAATTGAAAACTTTATTATATTGCATATTCATTACAATCGTTTTAGTTTTACTTATTAGTGTAAATGTGACACAAGATGTCATACACTTCTCATGACTGTCGGCGAATAATTCAAGCGCATTTCAGCCACCGCAGCAGCGTCGTAAATGTAACGCGGATTGTGGTTTATTTCGTTCAATTAAATCGCGAGGTTGGCTATTTTTGTTTCGTTTGTTTGTTTCATGTGTGTGTGTTTTGTTATGTAAATGTAATAATTTCATGGAACGTGCGATTTGCGTGTGCCCGTG